TGATTCTTGAAATATTAGTTGATTAATCTCAAGTAATAGATTCTTTTAATAATTGTCAATTTGCTTGTTACAACCCCAATAGTCTGTGTTGGTACAAGCTGTCGTAACAGAAGTGATTACAGATTCACCTTCAAAATCAAAATCCCACAACTCGAGGTGTCAGCTTGTATTTTGTGCTGGAGCACACTCACGGTCCACTGACTACCGTCAGCCTGCCTCAGAAACTTCCTATGGTGAATTGAACAGTTTAAGTACAGTTGGGTCATAAATACTAGATATGTTTTCAGACAGGACTAACCTCCAGTTTTTCAGAATACTTCTCTTATACATTGCCTCGTTCCCTAGTGGGTCAATCAGGATTAGGACCTTTTCCTCCATCAGCACGACCACTAAAACCCAGTGGCCACCTGTATTAATAGGACAGACCCAACGCTTCTCTTCTGGGAATTTCATCTAAAAAGTGAAACCAAAGAGTTACTTAAACGTTATGTGTTTGCAGTGAACATATGGCACAACATTCTGGATAACCTTTGCTAGTGGTCCCATTTGTCCACGCACAAAGAGGCTCGTGCCTACCACTGCAGTGAGATGGCAAACAGGTTTTGACGGAAACAAGTCAATGTAAATTACACATAAACAGGAGGCTGTTAGAAAGTACTGTGGAGAAAGTACTATTATAAGTGACATGCCTCTTCTTTGTCCACCAGCACATGAAGATAAGCATCAATGACCTGGATTATAGACAGAGAATTGTTACATGTTTCAAATGGTTGGTTGAGTTTAGTAATAAAAAATAAATAAATCACACTTCATCTGACAGCCAATGTGACCCCTCGAGTGTCCTAAACGACGAGCTGTACAGTTTAAAGCAGCCAACAGCTGCCTCCACTCGATCTCTTTGGCCTGACCAGATTGCCAAAACTGAAAGTGAAAAAATAAATTAGAACATTTGAACTAGAACATTAGAAAGTGTCAATAGTAAATATACATATAGTAGGATTGATATAAGCAAAAGCAAACAGGAACCCTATTCATATAGAGGTTATGTACTCATTCCACAAGGCCAAATAGAATATTGTAATGAATGTATGAAATTATCTTTGCCACTTTTTGAAAGCCAAGTTAAGCAAACCAATTTTTTGAAAAGGCTCCTGTTGAGTGAAATTTTAAAGCATGATCTGGGAACATCAGATCTTTTGCAGCCAAAATGAAATGGGAAAGAAGCAAAGCAAAATAAGTCAAACATACAAATGTCAAACCCTGAACATGGGTGTTCTGAACACATGACCCAACAGGTCAGAACTTTGTGTCATTACAACCTTGCTCTGCTACGCTCTCTTTTGTTTCACATGCATCACATGGATGCTAGAGGATGATTATTTACACAAATCGTTACATACAGAAAAAATATTAATGTAAATTCAATTTAATAATTTGTAATCCATCAGACATTAATTTCTGAAAGACTTAAAAAACATTTGAAAAGGAATACGTGTAAATTACTGAAGCATTCTTCAGTAGTATTTACCAAGTGTTGTGGTAGAGGAGCAAACTTAATAACAGATGGCCTAGTTGTGGTCATTTCGAGGTGTGGACTATAGGAGTAGAGATCAATTACTATATTGTATTACATTCATATATACACATTTAAAATCTGTGGAAAGTACCGTTTCTTTGGAATGTTGTCATCCATTGCAAGACTCCTCTTGTATGGTTTAATGTGGTCGACACTGACTTTTTTCTTCAGTGAAGTTCCCTCCCGATTTGCCAGACAAAAATTTTTCCCCAGGACTTCTTTTACTGTATAGGGCCCTGTGAAGTCTGGTTCAAGACGACCTACAATTTCAAAATCAGAATAATACATGTGAACCATTTTGTTCACTTTCCATGAAATGTAAATCATGGTGTTAAGACCAAACAAACGCTTACCCCCTTTTCTTCCCCGCTTTCGCATATTAAAGAGTAGCACCTCTTGTCCCTCGGTGTACTGCAGACCCTTGTATTTTTTAAGTGTTTTTTTCTCATAAGCCAATTTTTGTTTGTTTTGTGCCACAGACATGTTCTCTGTTGCACTCTTTGTATTTTGATCCATTTTTTCCTGTCTACCTTTCTTGAATTTGTTGATGTCATCCTCATCTGGAAGCACTATAGAAAGCTAAAAAAATTACTGTTACTGTAGGTGATCTGTGTGCAAACACCAACAATTTGCAATATCAAACTTACAGGAAAATCTACAGGCACCTCTGAGGGGAACACAGCCTCCCTTCCATACATAAGCTGGAACGGCGTGTGTTTTGTCGAGGTGTGCACTTTGGACCTTAAGGAGAACAGGGTGGCATCCAGGAACGTGTCCCAGTTGTTCTGCTGGTCATTGACCAACTTCATTACAGCTCTGAAAAACACCATTCAGAACATTAAGAGGGGGAAAAATATAAAAATACATAATGTTAATCATCTGATCAAATCAATTATTTTTTCTATCGCCCTAAATCACTACAGTGGTTGTCTCAAAGGGACGTGAAGTATTTAAGTGATATTGTACAACGGTCAGTGTCTTGCCTCTTGATGTTGTGGTTAGTCTTTTCATCAAGTCCATTTGTCTGTGGGTGATAGGCAGCAGTGACGCTTCTCTCAATGCCCAACAGAGAACAAAGAGTGTCATTGAGCTAAAAACAATTGGCATTGGCAGAACACACATATAAAAGAAGAATTACAAATATTGCACCTCATTCACAAATTCCGCCCTTGATCTGACAGGATACGTTTTGGGCATCCATGCCTGTATATAATTGAGCACAGTCTTTGCCCAACCTCAGCTGCAGTCTTTGTTCTTAATGGGAAAGCCTCAACCCATTTGGAAAAGTAGTCCGTTGCAGTGAAGATGTACTGGTAGCCATCCACAGTTTTAGGGAACGGCCCTGTCAGGTCAATCCCCAAAAGCTCCCAAACAGCAGACACCTAGAAATGCAATATCATTTGTTTTTATTAAGGTGTGTCAGCAATTAAATAATGGCAAAATGTAAATTTACCTTAATGCTTTGAAGAGGCACAACATAAGACAGAGGCTTTCCCTCACGCTGGCATTGGTCACATTCAGAAACCTGAAGAAAACAATTCAAATAAATGATGCATGCATGCATTTGAAATGTGAAAAACATACCCATTTGTCAATCTGCACAGTCATGCCATGCCAGTAAAATCTGGAGCAGATTGAATGTCGCGTCTTTATTGTCCCAGTATGGCCACCCATCGGAGCTGCATGGAACTCCTGAAACAGCTTCCAGGCCTCGTGTAAGGTTTTGATGGCCCTTCTATTCTGGTAGAACAGCTCACCATCTACAAGAAACATTCAACATATAAAAAAAACAACAACAATGTGATAAATTGAAAAAAATACATTACTTTTTAGTGTAAATTTCTGGGAATACTTCTTCAGACTTGCTCTCTGAACTTTTCCCATTCCTTCAGGATACCCATTTTCTGTGAGGAGCAGAAAAATCTCATCCCATTTATGCTCCATTATTAAACGGCAGACAAAAATCGTGGTCAAATGGACAGGCAAAAAGACAAAAATTGAAGAATCAATTGGCAGACAAATCGTCAAAAATCAAAGTATCAATCAAAAATAGAAGAGGGAGGAAATATATTGAGAGGAGAGAAAGAAAGATGGAGGTGCAAACAGGGTAATGGACAAGAAAATGAGAGTAAGACAAGAAAGGAGATGCAGGAGAAGGACAAGAAGAGTATGGTGCAATAAAGGGAGGTCAAAAAAATGGATGAGAATCAATGAGTGCAAAAGGAGAATAGGGCTCTGTGGAGAAAAAGAGAAGACACTCATTAATTTTAATATAATTATTACATTACTTCCAAAGAATAACAAACAACATACAATTAAAAATCATTGATATTTCTTTAAACCATGAACAAATACATACACTATGTACATTAATAGATAAAGTACTATACTTTGGATTAGGATTAGTAACGAGGTGACATTCATTTGAAGTATCATACAGATATGCAATAGTACATTTAATATTACGTTCATATATTACCATTTTTATACAATTTTGCTCGCTCCCAATTTTACCTAGACAGATGCGGTATGGATATCCCTTTGAATGTAATTTCTTTTTCGAACACAGGATTTTGGTAGAAAGTGGAAAAAGAAAATTGTATTCTTTGGTTGCCCTCTCATTAGCGCGTGCTAGTTACAAGTTTGAGCGTGTTTTTCAGAAGCGTTTCCCTCGTATTTTAATGCTAATACACCCGCTAATTACAAGCTTCCCTGAATATTTGACTCCAAAAACCACTGACACATATTGAAAACCAATCATATTCGGTAGCATAATAACCAGGTTAACTAGTACAGCATGTGTCTATCGGGCATAGTGTTAGCTAACGCGAGTTTACCCCAATTTTTTTACTTGCAGTTATGCAGTTATGTACGGAGCCCCTCTGATGACATGGTAAAAAAAAAATTATATTGTGGCCACAAAATAACTAATTTGTTCCCTCAAATTACTAATTTGTTCCCTCAAAATACTAATTTGTTCCCTCAAAATACTAATTTGTTCCCTCAAAATACTAATTTGTTCCCTCAAAATACTAATTTGTTCCCTCAAATTACTAATTTGTTCCCTCAAATTACTAATTTGTTCTCTCAAATTACTAATTTGTTCCCTCAAAATACTAATTTGTTCCCTCAAATTACTAATATATAGCTACAACTTCTTTAAGGGTTAAGGTAGAGGCATTAGTAGGGCTAAAGATACACCATGGACAGGGACAGTATAATAGAATTTTATTTTAGGCTGGGAATGAGCTACAAAGACATTTTGAAGAGCCTGGCATTGCAAGGAACCATCATTACTGAGAGACATTTAAACAGAATATTGAGAGCCAGGTTGCTTTACAGGCGAAGGTATGACTTGGACGCCGGCATTGATTTTATTGTTGACCAACTGCAAGGCCCTGGAAAGGATCACGGCTACCGGTGGATGTTTACAAAGTGTAAACAACACGGTATTTCTATAAAAAAAGAAGACGTCAGGATCCTCCTCTCTTTACTGGACCCCATCGGTTCCCAAGCTCGCAAGCGCAGACGTCTCCGAAGGAGGCAATATTTTGCTCAGGGACCGAACTTTGTGTGGCACATAGATTCATATGACAAGCTGAAGCCATATGGGATATGTATTAATGGTTGCATCGACGGGTTCTCACGCAACATTATTTGGCTGCGGGCCGCCTTCACTAACAGCAACCCTAAAGTTATCGGGGGGTACTTTGTAGAAGCAGTGGAGCGCCGTGGGGGCTGCCCCAGGCTCGTACGAACTGACATGGGCACTGAGAACGTGGTGGTTAGAGACATTCAGCGGTATTTACGGAGAAATTACATGGATGACAGAGCAGCGGAGAGTAGCTACATCACAGGAGCAAGTACTGCGAACCAGAGAATTGAGAGCTGACGTCAGCAAACACAGGCCTAAATAAATAACTGCCTTATCATGGGAAAACAAGATATTAACAATAACAGAATATCATAAGACACTCGCCATAAGTACGTAATGCAGGTTGTACAGAAGGTATGCTAGAGTTGCTTTGAGCCCACGTTAGTTGCTAATTTGTGCGAACAAATTAGTATTTTGAGGGAAAAAATTAGTATTTTGAGGGAACAAATTAGTAATTTGAGGGAACAAATTAGTAATTTGAGGGAACAAATTAGTAATTTGTGGGAACAAATTAGTATTTTGAGGGAACAAATTAGTAATTTGAGGGAACAAATTAGTATTTTGAGGGAACAAATTAGTTATTTTGTGGCCACAATATAATTTTTTTTTACCATGTCATCAGAGGGGCTCCGTAGTTATGTGACGATGGAAGCACGCTTTCGATGCAAGAACGTTAAATAGTTAAAATATATCATCAATTTACACAGAGACAAATACTCACGTGTGTTTCAGACTTCGGCGAAGCAGAAACAGCCAGATAGCTGATGCGCATGCGCTTAAACCATAGCAAGACGAAGAAACAAACTTTTTTTTTTTGGCCATTAGCAGCATTACGTAATGGTTACAGGAGCAGTTGACCACTTAAATCAAAGTTTACACGAAACGTTGACTCCTAAAACCCCCATATAACAACATAGAACCATCAACATCTCGCCTCAAATTGCATTAAAAGTGACATTCGCGTCTTAATTCGTTCGTATTTTGCTTTTTAAAGCAATTCACAGAGTTTATGTCCGCCATTTTGGCTGCCGTGAGAAGCGCATGCGCAGGTTTGCATTACATCATAAACAGCTGAGACAGATCATCTCGACAAACTGACCAAATCGACAGAACACCGGATTTGCACCAAATTTTTATCCATTGTTCAGCTCCAGGGTCTAGGTCATTTGAAAGTTGAAATACTGAAATTGGCTCATTAGCGCCCCCTACAGACCATGTCAAAGTTTTACATGGGCTTTTTAAATTTTAGTTTTGTCAATATGTTTGAAATTTTGCACATAATTCTGTTTTGTCCTCTGGATTCAAAAAGTCAATGACAACATATGAATATTTTTTACACTGTTGCCGTGGCGACAACCAACACTCCCCTGTCTGTGTCTATGGCAAAATCGTTAAATCCCTGAAAAGTACACCTCGCTTAAACATCAAACCAGCCTCGGCCGTTTCACTAATTTGTCTGAAAATCGCTCCACATCGTCTCAACACATGGACCATCAATAGTTGAATATAGAATTTTAATTAGTCAAACGTTCTGCGCGTGACAGACTCCCAAAGTGTGGTTATTTTAATTCGAGAGGTATGAAGTTCCCATGTTATCCAATGGAGACTGTATGGACACACTCACAGATTGTATGGGCAAACAGGAGCACATTTACAAACTCTGATATTCACTAAACTTGACTCGGTTGTTCAACTCCTGGGCCTAGGTCACATGACTGTGTGAACAATGACATTGGCCCATTAGCGCCCCCTACAGGCTGAGAAAAGGTTTACATGGGGATAAAGGTATTTAGGTTTTCTGTTGTTTGATCTCATATTTGACCCACTGAACAAACACGAAAACTCACCAAACTTTGCCACAAGTTTTTTTCAGGCATAAAGTGTATTATTTTGGTGTTCTTTGGTATAACAGTAATAAATTGAAATTGTAGGGGGCGCTATTGTACAACATTAAATAACACCATTTGCACATACAAAGTCCGATTTGCACAAAATTTGAAATGATTGTTCAACTCTTGGGTTTGGGTAAACTGAAAGTGTAAAAGACGAAATTGCAACAATAGTGCCCCCTACAGACTGAGTCAAGTATTACATGGGGAGAATGAGGTTTACCTTTTCAAAGACACACACAATCACTGATCATAGGCATTCAAAATGCACAGTGTCACTCCCATCAGAGGGGTAGGAAAATGGCGCGCCAGCGCCACCTCCTTTGCGCGGTGCGGCGAGGACCGTTCGACGCCGCTTGCGGCTTTAATTTGAGATTATTTTGTGGTAAAATATGAGCACACAATCCAAATTTTAGCAAAGGCTAACCCAAGTGAGCACATGTTCACTGTCTGTACTAGTGCTGATAGCAGCCATTTTGCAAGCACCAGTTGAGACAGAGAGCAGACTTTTATTTATTTTAGAGCTACCTGACTATGTATTATGTGTATATATGCACATTTTATGTTTATGGTAGGCCGTTCAGAGTGGGTTGGAGAAATAGTCAACTTTATATCATCTCTGAGCACGAGGTTGAAACAATATGGCGAGCCTTCCCTGGATCTTCTGATCTACATCCATCTGAGAGTTAACGCCCTCTGTTGGACTGAACACGTATTTTTTTTTTGCTGAATAATTTTTAGTTAATATTTTGTATTTTATTTTGAAGGATTATCACTGAATTGTATCCACTTTTCTTTGAATGGTGAAAGAAACATTTTGAAGGGTAATTACAAAACTTGAACTTAAAGGTGAACACTAGATTGAACTAAACTGAGTCAACTCAATCAATCGAACTAAATCTCAACTGAGAACTGAAAGAGAATTTAAACTAAAATAAAAGGTTGCAACCTGATACTAAACTGATACTAAAGACTAAACCAAGGTTAAATCAAAGCAAGGATTTAATTAGAAGGGTTAATTGTGGTAAATTTAATGTTATTTGTTTGTCCATTGTCTTTTTGTCTATTTTCAGTAATAAGCCGGTAATTTACACTTATTTTCTGGTCTGTGGTCTCTTTATTATCCTTCTTACGTTCAGTTATCCAACTTTTACTCCAGTAGACAAACTTAGTTGATTGATTCTGGTCCATAGGATACTGATAGGAATTATCACTTGTTTTTACCCTGTAATTACCCCTCGTAGGTGTTACACTGACACAATACAACATTATTGGCCAACCTCGTGCACGTCTCCAAGATAATTTTTAATGGGTACATATGTTACATGTTTGTGTACAAAACTGTGATATGGAGTACAGTCCACATTAGCATCTGATATTGTTTTGGTATTGAGCTCACTGTGAGCTCCTCACCCCCTCCCTCCTGTTCCTGCTGCTGTGGGCGTGGCTGTTCCTGCTCCCTGTTCCTGTCCTGCACACCTGCCCCTCACATCTAATCATCTCTGTGTTTAAGCCTGGGCATTTCCTCAGTCCTCTGTCAGGTCCTCAGTCTACATCGTGAGACAACACCTCAGGCCTTTTGCTATTTTTGCTAAGTTTTTGAAGCCCTCGTCTAATCTCATGTTTTGTGCTGATCTCAGAAACTTGTGCCAGTCGCAGCCACTTCACTCCTGCTCCTGCTCCTGCTCCTGCTCCTACTCCTGTTCCGGCCCTACCAGCCCAACCTTCATTCCTGTTAATTAACTCTTTTAACCTGTCCTTCGCATTTGTGTTCACTTCTTTGATCAAAACATATATATTGCTTATATTATTTTGCTTAAAACCAGTCTACAACTAGAAAAAGACTGCAAAAAGAGCATAAAACAAGCAAATTTATCCTTAATCAAACATTTATTTAAGCATTATTTCCTGAAATTATCCAACAATAAGAATATTTTGCTTAAATCTGACCTTTTTATTGAGAGAAAATTGCTTAAATAAAGAAATATATTGGGTTTTTTAAATAACATGAATATTTTGCTTGAATCTGACCTTTTCATTAGAAGAATTTTGCTTAAATCAAGAAATTCTTGTTTTTTTCCCATTATACATTAGGAAAAAAATCTTAAAACAAGAATTCTAGACAAGGAAAAAAGTCTTACCCCATTGGCAGATTTTGTTGCTTAATATAAGCAGAATTGTCCTCTTTTGAGGTTTTTTTGTCTTGTTTCTTGCAAGGGACTCTTTGAAGTGTGTGAGTCACTGCCACATTTAAAACAGTGGTTACAGTCTTTGTTTTCTTCTTGACATGCAGTACATTGCCATCTCTGGAGCTGACTTTTTGAATTATTTGTTGTTGCCACGATGAACATTATGCATGAGTGCAGCTACTTGATCAGTATGTTCTCTGATGGCTGTTTGGCTTTCCTCTATTTTTGAGTAGAGTGAGTTATCTTTGGTTGGTTTAGCTTTTATAAGCTGACTAGAACAGGAATCGTTTGACGATTCCGACTGCTCTACACATTTAGTGCTGCTCTAAAATTCTTGTTTTTTTATTTTTAGAGCTCTTTCACTTTCATTGTACTGTGCAATTACCGTGGTGAAGTTGGTTGGATATTGGATATTCAGCAGATAATCAGAGCGGGGAAGCGATGAGGTCGTCAGCCGGTCTGAGAGTAGTGCAGAGCGGGCATGTACTCGCACGAGTCTTCGCCTATATTTAGGGACTGTCAACAGTTTACCCTACTCTAATTTTTCACCATTATGAAAGTGGATATAAAAAAGACCGTAATGGCTAATTAATACAAAAAATTAATAACTATTTGGACGATTATAACCATGAGCAAAATCCATTTAATTGTAATGTTAATGTTTTAAATCACTTTGATCATCAAAGGTTACAGTAAAATATGATTTTATTCAATAGCTTTTGAGAAATTCGACCCAGTGACCCCAAACCATTCTTATATAATAGTACTACCTGTGGGCCCTACCTGGTGGCCGGGCCTTAGCCCACGAGGCCTGGCTGGGCTCAGCCCGAATGGACGACGTGGGCAGTCCCTCCTGTGGGCCCACCACCCGCAGAGGGGTCCGTGGTGGCGAAGCGGTGCAGAGAGGACTGGGCAGCGGTCGAAGGCGGAGACCTCGGCGACCCAGTCCGCATGCGCAACATCTGGCTCTTGGGACGTGGAACGTCACCTCACTGGGGGGGAAGGAGCCCGAGCTCGTGGGGGAGGTTGAGAGATATCGACTAGAGATAGTCGGCCTCACCTCCACACACAGTTTGGACTCTGGAACCCAACTCCTTGAGAGGGGTTGGACCCTCCACTTTTCTGGTGTTTCTCGCGGGGAGAGGCGGTGAGCGGGGGT